TGCAAGTGGGTCCTTGTGACACACGGGGATGGGGGCAGCCAGCGCTCAACCTGTCATCCACGTGGCTGGCCTTGTACGTAAGAGGTTATGAACARGTGGAGCTTTCCTTACCTCTTCCCCCTCGCCCTTTTTTCCTTTTCCTTTTTTCTTTCCCCTTTTTTGCGCTCTGATTCACAATGTGACAATATATGGCATGTGCATCTATGGCAAATGAGTTATTTGCAATTTATGACTTGCTCCTTCTTTCCATTGATCTTGTATCTTTCGGTGGTTTATCAGCGCGCCCGTGACTGTTTTTTTTCTCTTTTACTTCGCGCGATTTTCCCATCTCATCTCGTTTTTGGTTGCCGTCTCTCCCTCCTCCCTGCATCTGCATCTTCATCAGTGCACTCGTTATCCGCATCTTCATCTGCAATTTCTATTTTTATCTCCTCCATTGTATCGCCAATCTGATTCCCATAGGTCCGTGGCTGACAGCCCTGCGGCCATTATTTTGTCCAGATCTTCCGCTCCTCCCGATCCTCCAGTTCATCCCGATCCTCCAGTTCATCCCGATCCTCTAGTTCATCCCGATCCTCTAGTTCATCCCGATCCTCGGAGTTCATCCCGATCTTTCAGTTCATCCCGATCTTTCCGTTTGTCCCGATCTTCAGTTTGTCCCGATCTTCAGTTCATTCCGATCTTTCCGTTTGTCCCGATCTTCAGTTCATCCCGATCTTCCGTTTGTCCCGATCTTCCGTTTGTCTCGATCTTCTTCGACGATTCTCTGCACATCGTCAGGTAACCTACCGGTCGCCCCTAAACTTGCCACATTGGCGTGCATATATCGAAGTAGCCAGCGTCTTTGAACATCTCTCATACTATATATGCCCTCCACTCTAGGAAGCTAAATCTACGTGAGGCGTATGTTCTCCACTCTAGTAGGAAGCTAAATCTACATGAGGCGTTCTTATTAATTAGCTCTTCATGCTCGTTGGTTCATCCGGGGTCACCATCATCATTCTCCAATCATCATCCTCTCTTGAGCCCGTCTTCATTTCGCTGCATTTCAAGTTGGTCGTTTTTTTTGTCCCGATCTGGCGTTCAATCGATTGATCTGGTGGGGTTGCATGCGGAATGGGCTGACGTGACGGCCCGCCGTCGTTGGTATGCTTGTGCCTATCTTGTGGTTTGGTGTTGTGCTGTGTGATCATGCATGCAGAGACCATATCTGTGATCACGAATGATGGAAGAAACTTCGTGGTGAGTTCCGAGGTCCATTTAACCTTTATGGTGGGGTTGCTGCCACTCTCAACCCCTTTAGGCGAAGAAACCGAAACGAGGGGTGTAATTTGGCGGGAACAAGAAAATATAGATAAAATAGAAAAAAGAATGCAGAAAGAACGATATCATCAAGCCGAAAAGAGGGAGCCTCTGCAGGGCGGGTGGGCGGGCGAGCGGGAGGGAGGGAGGTAGTAAAGGAGGGAGGGAGGGGGGGAGGGAGGGAGGGAGGGAGGGAGGGAGGGAGGCGGGGGGGAGAAGAGACACGTCCCTTTACTCATGACTCCCGCCACTATCGCCTTCTTTTTCATTCCCTCTCCTTTGATAATGCGGATGGCTTCTTGGTGTTCTTTGAACGTTCACACCTTTGATAATGCACACCCACACCAAGGTGCTCTTTTGGGCGGAGGGAGGGAGGTAGTAAGGAGGGAGGGAGGGAGGGAGGGAGGGAGGGAGGGGGAGGGTGGGAGGAGAATCGCCAAGGTGCTCTTTTGCGCGCCAAGTAATGGTGATGGTGGTGATGATGATGATGATGACGACGACGTAGGATCGTAATTGATGGCCACAGATCTTGCTCGATTAACCAGGACACGTGACTTGCGGTGGTGAATGACAATTTTCCAAATGACCGTTACCTCTATCTCTCTCCCTTCCTCTTTCTTTGTGTTCCAGTCCTTTTGTTATCTCTCTCCCTCTCTCCTTTTCTGTCTTTAGAGGACCAAGACTTCACGCGTTTGGTGTTTGAAAGCAGAGGATGCGGTACGCCTCTATAAGGCATGCCTGCGATGAGTTACAGTAATCCCCGCCACCTGCCGCCGCTCTTGGCGGTTCGTTTTTTGAGCATCTGTCGCATGAGCCTTGTCAATTTCTGGCCTCCTCGTCAAGGATCTTGGGCGTCTTTTCTTTTCCCCTCGTCGACAGATGCTCAAGGAAGGTCCTGTTCTTTGAATCGTTAGGCCTCCCTTCGCCAGAAGACAAATTCCTGAGCTTGCTCTCTCTTTCCTCCTCCCTCGTGACTTGACTGCACTTGCAAAGATCTCCTTTCTGAACTTCAAAATCCGCAGTATCCGCAGTATTTGTAACTCTTCCTGTTGTTTCCGTGGTATCACCGCTCAATCCAACGTTTTCTTCCACATCGCTTGATTGTTCTCTTGCTCAGATTTCACCATTGCCTTGTTTGGTGTGTGTGTGTGTGTGTGTGTGTGTGTGTGTGTGTGTGTGTGTGTGTGTGTGTGTGTGTGAGAGAGAGAGAGAGAGAGAGAGAGAGAGAG